AATAATAATTATTTTATGATTAGAGTAATGGTGAAAATAAGAACTGTGGTTTTAAAGGAAATGATTGGACATTGCAACATTCATACATTCTTAAAATACGTAGGATAACAATTATGGAACTTGTAAAATACTGGAAAATGGCTTGCATATTATTTATTTCCTCAATAAGGAAAAACATCAGCAATAACGACTAGTGACAGCAGAATAAAGAACTTGGGGAAAGAAAAGTAAATTGAAATCGAGACCTAAATAAAAACAATAATCCACTCTTTTACTCAAAACAGAGGTCTATAACTGTATTTATGTAGGGCTATGCATTAAAATAAATTTAAAACAAAACGTTTTGTGGTGTGCAAAATTTTTCTAGAGACTTAGAAGATCACGATGCCAATGCTCAATATAATAACAGAATCTGTGTTGAAGGAAAGAATATATCGTAAAAGTGCTGTTACACCAAGCAAGATGTCATACTAATTTCTCGCAACTATTTTCGAAAACAAAGAGTCGAACTGCACGAGACAGTGCACTGTGTCACAGAACCTGAAGTATTTACAGAAGGAAACTTTTGAGCATGGAAAACACTCAGACTACAGTCAAATGTCAAGGTGCATTAAACGGCTGACGATGAAGGTAAGAGAGATGAATTGTGATGTATTTCAATGATAAAATCCCTTTTAAACTAAGCTTGGTAAATTTACTCTTAAGTTCGTTCGTTCGTTTGTTCACTAGTTCGCTCGTTTGTCCGTTCTCTCATGATCAGACGTATGTCCCCCTTGTTAAATTTGCTGTATTTTTGTCTACAGGGTCCGCCTCATAAACTGCCTGTCATATTCGTGGATAACAGTGGCGTGAATATTATTTTAGGAATGTTTCCATTTGTCAGACTGAGAACTTCTTTCTCGGGTGACTAAGGTGCTTCTATTGCGTTTACTCAAAATGACAGAAGTTAACTCTGTCGTAAATGTCTAAATATCCTCCTTCCGGCATTGAAAATTGGACAATACTTTAAAACGAAGCTTAAAACACTCTTCATGCTTTAATCAGTTTCCTAGGAGTTCGTTTTCGGGACATAACGAACCCGGGATAACGGGATCCCTCTTTACGAACCAAAATATGGAACGTTTTTATATTCGGAATTCTATAAGTAACAATGTTTCATATTACGTGACACATTTCTCAAATGTTTCCGTTCTCTTGCGTAACATGTGTACGTTGTTATGGCCGCTAACTCGTATCCAGCCCTGACGTCATGTACAGTGAACTTGTTATCTTGACTGAGACAGTAGCGGATTTATGTCCAGAAATAAGGTGAGTGAGTTGTAATATAACTGGGCCTTAGGCCGATCGTATACCGTCTTGTTGCTCACTAACTTTTAAAAGTTTCATACGTAGTATTTGTGCGGAAAATTTTTGTTTGGTTATAGTTCTTCCCTTAAGGTTACTGCAGACCTTCAGGGGTGCCTTCCGGAAAATGCTTTCATTACGCGCTGCTTAAAAAAAAAAACACGGCAAACTATATATCATTGTAAGGCTAATAAACTGTAGAGTCGAAAACTAACAATTTACTTTGCTATTTTTGTTTTGATAGGCACGCACAAGCCTTAAAAGGCAAAGATGACGTTACTTGCTAAACTGAATTACCAGCCTTTGTGTTACCGCGAACATTCAAACTCACTGGACATAATCAATCAGGAGATGGTGGGCTAACAAAGTGTGTGAGGGTTTCTCGATATTTTTATTGGTTGCTTAGGAAATCGCACAATAGCAAATTTTCTGACTGCTGTTACTCACTGGGACGTCACAGGAAAAATATTTCGATTTTCGCAAAAGCCTCACACACTTTGGTGCGCTAATATCTGACAAAGATTTTGGCCAAGTTTCGCCAAAATCCGATAAATCTAAATACCCTATTAATTCATTTGAATGAAGGTAATTCACGCAAAAATAAACTTTGAGTATTCGGCTTCGAAAGAAATTCACAGTTTTTTGCACCTCACTGAAGCGGTTGTCAACGTGGCCATGCCGCCAACCAATGAAACGCAGCTTTGAACATCCTAGCGGGCTACAGTAACGCTTCTCGGGAATGAATGAACAATGTTTATATTTATAGTATATCTTTATATCTTACATAGGGAGTAAGGAAGTCTGTCGTGAAACATTCAGCAGTATATAAACCGGATCAGCAGATAAATGGTAAAGAAGGAAAAGGGAAAAAAGAGGAATGATAACGGAATAGCCTTGAACAAGCCTACTCGGCGAGCCCAGTCGAGTGCGGATATTTACACATTAAAAAAAAAAAAACTAAACGCGTAATTCATCGGCCTGTTTGTTTTACAAGGATATGGAAAAACACTCTTCGAAACAGAGGATAGGCGCGTTTGGAGAGGCTGCCTTGTCAGATATCAGCGATTCGTCCCCGAATTCTCTTTCTCCTCCCTTACCCCCTCCCCTTTATACACCTGCTACGCAGGCTAGTAATTCCGCGCCAATCAACTTCTGTGCCAGAAGAAGCTAGAGCAGGGCATCGACGAAACATTCGCTTCCGATTTGCGCTTGCGTTCAAATGTGGGAACGCAAAGATCGTGCAAAATCGCCTAGTCTATCACTTAAGAGACGAAAACAATCAACAAAAGCGAAGATTTCTGTTCGAGAAATTGCAAGACGTAAGGGATAAACAAAAGAAGCGAAATACGACTCCCCGGATGAGATCAGTTGCCGCGAAAATTATAACTGCTCAGCTCAAAGGTTGACACATTTTAATTGGCTTATCACAGTTTGCGGTTCATTGACTAGTCTCAAAAATTTACGTTTTTGTGGAGAACTCGTTCGCGTTTTAAGTCTTCAAAATAAATTTTCTTGGAAAATTCAGATAAAGTAGAAGTCTTGAATTTGGTGTAAAAAAATTTTGGACAGAATAGGCCCTTGAAGGTCCACAGTAACCTTAAGGTTGCTCAAAAACAATTTTCAGCACTCAAGTTTTGATGGGTAATTATAACCACTCTTAATCACTTGATGTAACAATTATGGCATCAAAAAACTGCCCAATCATTGGTGAACACTTTGTTATCATTTTATTGACGCAAAAAGGTTACCATAGCAACGGTATGACCTGTTGAAAACAGCCTTAATTACAGCTTTAGGGACATAATTCAAAAACGGAATGGCGAAATTTTTTTATGTTATCAAATTTTAATAAACATGGTAAGACGCAACTTTTTGGCAAAGTTTAAAAATTCTGAACATAGGGTTCAAGGCCACTTTAAATTGAGCCCTATGTACAGATCACTTTTAAACTTTGCCAAAATCTGCGTCTTATCATGCTTATTAAAATTTGGTAATATAAAAAAATTTCACTGTGCCGTTTTTGAATTATAAGCCCATAAAGCTGTAATCAAAGGTGCTTTTAGCGGCTCATACTATTGCTATGGTAACCTATTGCGTCACGAGAATGATAAAGTGTTCACCAATGATTGGGCAATTTTTTGATACCATGGCCGTAGCATCAAGTGTTAAAGAGTGGTTATAACGACCCATCAAAATCTAAATGCTGGAAACTGTTTTGAGCCACCTTAATGAGTTTTTGTGACATTATCCTCCGGAGCAGTCTTCGTTGTGCTACCCACTTCTCCTATGTCACTTTATTTTCTTCCAACACTTCCCCCGCATACACTTACATGACAACTGAAAAGTTACAAGAAACTTACATTTCATGTTGTTTTGAATTAGGACTACATGTAAGGAAGAGCAGTTAGTCGCTATGGAATCAGGGATTGTTTCACCTTGTTTGGACTGCAGGTATGTTGATTTTATTCTCCTGTTTAATACTAAATTAAAAACCATGTGGCTGCTTTATAGGATTTAGATTATCCTGACACAAACAACAGGAATAGAATCACTTTTTTGGTTCCATCTAAAATTAGGAAAGAAGGAATTTTAAACGACTCATTGATCTTCGGTGCTGTCAAATCAAAGTTATTGTTATTCTATTCTACTCGTGGGCTATACCATAGCACTTCAATTTTCCCAGTGTGTGGTAACCCTTTTCGTCAATACCATCGAATACTCCTGTATCTCCCAACTTGAGCTCTTTGACCGGAAGTGCTGACTTATCAGTGAGAAGACCACTGTCCTCGCGCCATACAGCGTCATTCTTGTCACAGTTGCACGCTTGACTGGGATCTGCGCACGAGTTGGTCATTCCGCATGCGCACTTTCTACTTCCAGGCGACGCTCCGCCCCAGTACCACATCGGACTAGAATCTCGTGACACCCACCAGCTAAGAGCTCTCAATTGAGAGTGATAACACTCATATTTAATGAACTGTTCACAGTTTGAAGAGGCATTAGTAAGACTGGCCAGCTGAGATAGACTTGCTCCTGAGTAGTGAATGCTGCGCGAGTACAAACCGCCATTATCATATCCATTCACCAATGTTCTGCTTTCACTGTCGTGACTAACAACTGTGACGCCAACACCATTCTTGTCACTCATGTCACAGTAGACTGTGAATGGCGCCAGGCCACCCTCGCCATCTGGATCAATGACGTAATTTCCACTAGAACTGCTGACGTATTTCCGTATCACAGAACAGGAAGAGGACTCGGATTTAACCTGAACACTTGCTTGTATAGAAGATAGAGCATTGGTCGCTTTACAGGTGTAAGATCCCTCGTGCGATTTCTTGACACTGGAAATGACAAGTGTGTTGTTTTGAAGAATGCGAGAGTCTACGGGGAATGACGGCTTTCCATCCTTCATCCACGCTACTGTTGGTTTGAGGTCGCTCTCAGCCACACAAGGTAGATGGAGAGGGAGCCCAATTTCAGCTGTCAACTGTACTGGAGGACGAACTTTAAAACGCAAACGAGAGAATATTACCACCTGAATGGTTTTCTCGGCTCCCCCCAGAATATTTTCCGCTTTACATATGAACGTTCCTCCGTCTTTTCTCGACACGTTGTTGATTTTCAAGACGCCGTTATTAACAGTTCTTCTTTCAGGTAAACTACCGATAGCTTTAGACCACGTGATAGTAGGTGGCGGCTGACCAGTTGCACGGCAGGCGATGTTGATGGTTTGTTCTTCCTCGGCCACTAGTCGACTAGAGGGCAGTGAAACCCGCGGAGAAACTGTTGAGATAATGAAATAAAGCTTTGCTTTCATTCAAGTGAAAGATCCAGAAGATCAGGCATGCAGGAGGCGGCGTGGCCGATCGAGTTGTTAGAGCATTGGACATTTTGGGCGGTTTTGGTACATGATGCATTTAAGGTGGCTCAAGACAGTTTCCAGCACTTTGCAAGACTTATAATTTGATAAGTCATTATAACCACTCTTTATCAGTTGATGCAGACATGGTATCAAAAAACAGCCCAATCATTGGTAAAGACGTTGTTATTATTTTTGTGACACAATAGGTGACCATAGCAACGGTATGACTTGCTACGGCACGGTGAAACCCAGTTTTTTATTATCAAATTTTGATTAGCAGGATAAGAGGCAATTTTTGAGAAAGTTTTTTAAAAAAACTCTGTAGATAGGGTTCAGAGCCATCTTTAATTTTATCGAAGCATTCATGACGAGACGCTATATAGTCTGTTTTGTACGCGAGTTCATAAGTTCTTTATAGATAAAAATTAAACTCACATTGCACTATTAACTTTGCTGAAGCGCTCACACTTCCCAGCAGGTTTTCCGCTCTGCAGCTGTAAACTCCATCGTCTTCTGATTTCACGTTCTTTACACTAAGAACACCACTGGACTCTATCACGTGACGCCCAACAGGAAGTGACGAATTGATCTTGGACCACGTGACCCGTGGAGGTGGATGACCGTCTGCTGTACATTTCAGGGATGCTGTTTGTCCTTCATTGACTGTCATTCCAGCGACAGGCTCCTGAAGAAAAGGAGCTGAGACAGTCTTACCCCTCTCGCCCTTGACTCCCTGGGGTCCTCTAGGGCCCGGAGGTCCTATATCCCCCGGTAATCCCGGATCTCCTCTTATCCCGATTGGTCCTTGAGGTCCCACGGGACCGTGCTTACCCGGTGGTCCCTTGGGTCCTGGTCTCCCTGTTCTTCCACGGAGGCCAGGTCTACCGTGTCGGCCTGGGTTCCCTTTCGGTCCTGTTCGACATAACATGTGATCGTTAGCACAGATTTGGTCTTGCAGTCGACTGAGCTCTTCTCTTATGAGTCGCTGTACATCAGAGGTTGTTGTTTGCGCTGTTGTCGGTGAATACACAGATGAAACACTTCGTTTGTATTTTGAAATACTTCCCTCGTCACCTGAAAGAAGTAACGCTATGTTTAGACTATGTTTAGCAATTAGAATATGAGCATGAGTTTTCTATCGCGTGATATTTGACAAGGGCGCATCACGCGTAGAAATTCAAGAGCGAATAATCGAATTGCCTCAGTATAAATCTACTAGTCGTACAAAAACTTTATCTAAATCGTCTTGAAAGACACTTTCAAAACTCAAAGAAGCGGCCGCCAGTTTGTTAACAAGTGTACACTGCTACAATGGATAGTGAGTAGCGTAGCCAATCAGCGAACGGCATTGGAAATAGAACGCTAGTAGATTTACCGGTATACTAAAAAGTGATATAAATCTATGGTCGTGGACTTTAATTACTCTCTGATCTTGATAACCTCTCTGTGTGACACAACACGATTCCCAAGTGTTGATTAAATTTCGTTACAGTAATGATTTACTCGTTGTCATTAGCTTTGGCAGCTTAATATAATATTATTTATTCCTGTTTCTGAATTCTAAAAGAAATATTTTCATCTGGAGAACTCTGGAAAGCTAGCTTGGCTCTCTATAAATACTTCTCTGATGATGCGAATGAAGAAGATTGACTTGATGCGAAAAGAAATTCGTTGACTTTACTTTAAATAAGATGGGTAACAGCTTAAAAGGAGAATTAGTATTTTGATGTGCGGGATTTGAAAGGTTTAACTACGACTGTGTGACTTCCCTTGACACGTGGATTTCCTGTGCGGCTGGAGGCGTGTTTTCGTTAGAATGGTATCAGCGCTCTTATTTACTTTACGTTTCTTTATTTTTTCTCCCATCAGTAAATTAGACTGACAATAGAATCAAACACTTCAGAAACATAACCCTTTCGACGTCAGGTCTTCTAGCAGGAAAAAAAGAAGTATTCTGAGCCTCGAGGCAAAAATGAATAGAACTTTAGAAACGATAATCTGTCGGGGTTAAACATATGTTATCGAACAACGGCCGAACATTAATTTCTGCCTCAGCTCAACTGTCTAAAATACTCCATTTCTTTCTTCTAACCAGCCTGCTTGCACAAATGGTCTTTGAAAGAAATTGAATCAAAAATGACCTAGCAGTTTTGTCTTAAAGCACATAAGACATTAGTTACAAATGTTTTTTCGTTGAGTACCGATAAAATTGAAAGGTTCGCTCGGTATACTTTTGTGAGCTCGGAGTGCATTTCTACTGCGAATTCCTTGGATGAAGAAAATACGTCCCCGATCAAAACTTTACATTCAGCTTATGGTTATCTTCATTGTTGCGAGGAGGGAGAAATATAGGACAATTCAAAATTTATCTTTTCCTCCACTCATCTCTTCTTCTTTCGCAGCTGCCCATCGATTGAAATTTTGTTGTACTTTGCGCAGGATTTCTTCCTCCATCTTATCACAGATTGTTGTCGGGTGTGATAGCAGTCGATGATGTTCTTGTATCCTGAATTCCACATGAACAAGCGCGACACAACACACGATAGACAGCAGTAATCCCGACATGCCACACAAACTACCGAGTGATATTCTTCTCTTTGTCTCGGAAAGGCGTTTCTGTTGGTTCATTGTAAACCTTGTTGAAACGGATTCCACACGAAGCTCTCGCTCCTGTTCCCTTAGATGTTTACACGACCAATAAATTGTGCTTTACCGCTGTTGTGATCTGTAGCGTGCGCGAATTTGCTAAACTGGTGAGATTATTGTACGTGCTCGCTTAAGAGGACTTGTCTGAAACAGTGATTAAATATCAGAAGGGAAAATCAGTATCATGTGACATGAGACAGTTAAGTCAACTAAAACAAAAAGGTTAGATGCATTAGTCGAGAGCGCCATGAATGGGGAACTATAAGGATTTTCTTGTTGGTGGTTCGTCACGAAACAAAACGTTGTGTTCTTTTTATATTTTTCAACCGAGTCCGGACAACAGTTTTGGACGTTGCTGTTGATTTGCTATTATACATGAGAAAAAAGAAAGTTTTCCAGCTACGACTGCCAACAGTATTGAATTTTTGAAGCGAGATTAAGCAATTAGAACTAATCCCATAATCTCATAGAGAGCTATTAACTTTCTTTGTGGTAATATTTGCAATTTTTCCTTCTCGTTAATCTTGGATAGGTCACACTGTCATGTTCACCTGGTCACGCCCACTGAGTGTGTATCTAAGTCCAAAGTTCGATTGTTACAACGTTAGAGGAAGTTGTAGACTTTCCTACGATCCAGATGCTCCGAAAAGTTCTTTACGCTTATTAAAAAGTCATTATTGCTATTTAGTTTTGCTCATGGTTATAAGCACCTAAGATACCAATAGTAATCCAAATATTCTGTCTCAAATCAAGTGCGCAACACGAAAGCTCGCTATTGGTATAGGCTTTGACCAACTAAGTAGAGTGAAAACGTCTGAAAATGAGTGCATTGCCCCATTATGTCTCCAAAAAAGCGTAAAAACTGATAAAATGGTCTTGAGTAAAATTTATTCTCTTTGGTATTTAGCTTGTTTGTATTTTTCGTGATCAAGAACGGCTGGCTCGCTCAAAGACTTGGAGGCGATCTGTACAGTGTGGTGTTCAAGTACGAGCAGGGAAATATGAATTCAGTTTGGAATGAAGCTGGGCTGTTATATGGGATGCTTGTCTGGTTTGAAGGGGTTTATTATGATCGTGGTGATGACGAAACGGGTAAAAACAACATTTGTGATGTCAATGATGATGATGACGATGATGATGATGATGACGATCATGAAGCTGATAACGATGACGATGATGATAATGATGAACGTGATCATGACGACGATGTTGATGACAACGTTTGCGATGCCAATAACGATGATGGTGATGACGGCGACGATGAGGATCACGATAACGATGACGATGATGACCATTTCCCGAAAATCATTTGTTCGTGTAGGTTGAAATGTTCAAATCAAGGCCCAACTTAGATTTGAGAATTAATTTTCGAGAAATTTTGGTGTTCTTTCGTTAAAATCGTCGCCTGAACTTACACTTAGTTTTTCTTCGAAGGGTTCCTTTAAAGAGGAAATATCACAGAGAGGTCTGATATTTTCCTTTAACATTCAACAGTACTGAAATAGCATTTTCATTTCTCGCACTTCACATGGCTTCTGCACGTTTGGCAAAGATAAACATCCTTCCTATCTATGAAGTCCAATGAATCTCAGCGCGATAAATACATGGAGATGGAACAAACACGGTGGGATCTTGACGAGTATTAATAAATAAATAAATGGAATGAATTTATGAAAGGAAGAAGGAATGCTTCCGTCAAGTTCAAAACATGCAATATATCCAACGAAGCTGTTTAAGGAAAGTATAGAATTGAGAGATTACTAACAGATGGACATGAAACAAAAACAGTGGGGTGCAGACGAAAGTCAATAAAAGAATAAATGGAATGGATGTTTCTGTCAAGTGCAAAACATCCAATAAATCCAACGTAGTTATTGAAAAAGTGTTGAATATTTTAACTTCCAGCTCTAAGTTGAAGTCCTCAGCACCGTTTTTCATGATATTAGATGAGTAGTGTGGATTTACTGGACATCATGGGCACACTGAAGATTCCAAAGATAACTTATCAGCCTGATATGATATGTCCAGATTACCCACCTCAAAGATTTTTTGAGCACTGTTCACGAAGTAACCTTTACCCTATGTTTTTGTGGAAATCCGTAATTCCTGTTGCCATGGAAAAAACCGCTGTTCTAAATCCAGGAAGGGGAGTACCAGAATCGGAAATCATTATCCGAAGTTTTGTAGCATTTTAGAATTATCAAAGCTGAATACAAGCATTTTGTGATCTTATCGCTGTCATTGCCACAATAATCGCAGCAGGTACACCATTTACTTCATGAAAGAGCTTTTCATTAACGATCTTCGAGATAAAGCATGAGGGGGAAGGCCTGGGCCCGGTTCCTCGAAAGATGGTTAACTCTTTACCCTAACCAATTGTTAAAAATTAACCGTGAGTTAGTTTCGGTTGATCTAACACCCTGGGTTAAATTTAACCACGGGAGGGGGGGGNGCGGCCCGCTTCCCAAAACCTTTACCCTATTTATGACCAAAATCTGCAATATTCCCTACCCTATTTACGACCTGACCAAAAATTCGAAACCCTATTTATGACCTGACCCGTAAATCAAAACCCTGTTTAAGACCTGTGTTATGATTGGTTCCCTAGTTCAGACCAATGTTAGGTAAGTTACCATAAACATAATTTGTGAAGGGCTTTTGTCGTTTTTCTTTTCAATAATGATGAAAAAGTGGCTTCTTCTTAAAAACTTACCCATATGAAGGCTAGAGTGCAAAAACCATACCTATTTATGACCAAAATCAGCTAAAATCTATACCCTATTTGCGACCAAAGCGGCTGAAAATCCGCACCCTTTGGGGCCGCACATACCTATATAGCCCATAAAAGGAAGTACATCCCCCCCCCCGGGAATTTAACGTACCTCGCTACAAGTGCTATCTTGTTAACCACTGGTTAAAATGACGTGTTGTTGCAAAATCAGTGAAACAACATGGGAGTTGATTTGTTTTTTCGCGGTGTGCTATTTAAGGTTATTCACCAGTATTGCATTGCGCATCCCTACTGCGCATAATTTCACGCGTGACTAGCGCGCGCGCAATTAAAATGGCGGCTTTTCCTTTACAGCTGGACCTCATCATAGAGGTAAATCGTCATTTTCTCGCAAACGAGTATGGTGACCTATCATTTTTTTCTGTTGTTTTGAANGAACAAAAAGCAATCGTCGGAAACGTGAATTTAGCAAGCAATCGTGACTACAATAATGGTGCCATTATAAGGATTTATATTGGTGTAAACAAGGTGCTGCTGCTCCTAAACGAAAATGGGGACCCCTCATTTTTATTTCAAAATTTAAGTTCCTATAATATAAACAATCAACAGGCAAAGTTTCACAAAAATCTCAGAGCAGGTTCTATTTCAGTGAATGACCTTAAGCGTAAAAGAATTTTAACCTCCATGACAACTTTCTCGACGGGCTCTCTGAAGCTGAGGTTAACTCACGCTATAGATGTAGAAGCCGACAAAGATGTAAAATACAGGACACGTTATGGGCGTGCAATGAGACGTCCCAAGAGACTATAGACGATTTAGGCCGACGTGCAATGGATGTGCAATCAGACGTCCCAAGAGACTGTAGAACATTTAAATTATATGCGAGTGGGTGTGGGTGTGAGTGCTTGTTGCGTGTGTCTACTACCGGATTAAATTGCTATGTCGAATTCTGCGAGTGTTCGTCGTTTTACTGGGCCCGTACAATAAATTGCAGGTGACATGTCGGCCTCATTGATAGTTACAAATATCCAAATAAAGGTTTCCTTCCTCTGGAATGGTTACAACACAGTGAATCTCACAAGAAAAGCCAATTCAAGCACAAGTAAAGCGAAATGGTTCTCAGAAATTTAACTACAAAGCTGAGTGTCACTGTGTCAACCAAATTCTGCGTGCATCAACCGCGCAGGGTGTGACCTAAATATACAACGTTCATATGCTCGAGTCTTATAAATACTGTATATCTCAATACAACAGAAAAAGCACCCAAATACTTATCTTTTGATTCGATGTCAAAAAAGCAGTTTTGCAGATGTATGTAGACGCTTCAAAATACACAACATCAGCAACGCCAAGGCGCTACCAACGCGGGGAAAAGTGCCTATTGTCATCTCTTCTGACCCCCGGGGGGGGGGTTCTCCCAGAAAAGGTTGGGTTGGGGTGTACGGCTCGCTTCCCAAAACCCTTACCCTGTTTATGACCAAATCTGCGATTTTCCCTACCCTATTTATTACCTGGCCAAAAATTCGATACCCTATTTATAACCGTTGCGGCTGGCGCAGTTGTCCTAAACTTAAGTTATGAAGGGCTTTTGTTGACGTTCTTATTGGTAATGATGAAAAAGTAGCTTCTTCTAAGAAACATACCCAGTTCAAGACTAGAGTGGCAAACCCATACCCTATTTAAGACCAAAATGGCCAAAATCGATACCCTATTTCTGACCAAAACGACTGAAAAACCCTACCCTTTGAGGCCGCACATACCTATATAGCCCATATACGGGAATACTCACCCCCTCCCCCTCCCCCACCTCCGGGCTTCCGACACACGTTGCTTCATTTTGTTAGTGTTTGTTTTAGTAAACTATGATTTCAGTACTGCTTGATTTTCCTCAAACTTCTGAGTTATGATCGCAATTTCTCGAGCTGAAAAATTTGGGTTTCGTTTTCTGCAGACAGTTTCAACTATATGCACTTCTCTCGATTGCTCATTTACCCAAGCGACTTCAAGTTCATGTGAAGAATTTTCGGCAGCCATTTTACCACTAAAAGTAGACAGAAGATGGTAAAAAATTCCGCGGGAAAACTTTTCAAACATGTTAGGAAATGGTTTAAGTCTGGGATATTTTATCTAACCATTGTAAAGCTACCCAGTGATTAGCATCATTTTAACAGACCTTCGAACAACGAGAATTTAGCCAACGGCTAGTTAACCTACTGTGAAGGTGAATTAATCAACATGACACGAGCGTGGGACAAAGAAAAATTCTGAGTCCCCGACAGGAATCGAACCCATGACCTCCCGAACACCGG